CCTCCGAGAGCCAAAGAAGGAATATTGACTCATCCTTGTACTTTCCCCTCTTCCCCTTATTGACCAACACTAAACTCACTGAGCTTCAGTTTTAACCAAAAAACTCACACATCTCACCTGTGACACCTGATTTTATAGTTTAGGAATTAAAAAAGAGAAAAAAAATCACTTAAGAAGCCTGTGGGACTATTACAACACAGTGCTAATTTTACATTATGTTTGATGCTTTGGCCATGGTAAAAACAACAGCATCTAAAACTCACTGAAGAAAGCTCAATGGGTGTATCAGGCTTAAGAAAACTGACAGACCTAAAGGGCATAGGTGTGATTTTACTGTTCTACTTGTATGAGACCTCCTACTAGTGATGAAGTGGAGTCATTACACCTTACAGTTGATCCTAACAGCAGGTTTGTTTTGGTCTGAAGTTAAAAATCTGCTGAAATGAAAACTACTGCCGTAGCGCTTTTAGTTTGTAGACATAGGATTTAAAGAATGTCAACTGAGACATGTAAATACCCCCAAAACCTTTAACTCAGACGAACTTACTGGCGTTTATCCTTCTGGGCTCAAGTTGTCAGAAAAATAATAAATATAGCTGATTGCCTGACGAGCAGCTGGTATTTGGCATTTCAACATTAAAAACTCGTGTTTTACTTGTGAATTTTGCCTTGAGTGTTCTGAACTTTGACCTTTACAAAATACAGTCCACACATGCCTTAATGTTAGTCATAGACTACAAGGAACACAGAACTGGGCTATCCAGTGAGCAAAGACCACTTAATCCTGCTTTCTTTTTTTATGCTTGTTAAGCCCCTTTAATATATGTTATATGGGGCTATGCAAATAAAACCGAATTGAACTGATCCATGTAACAAGCCCTTATATGTTAGTTAAAGTGACCCAAACTATCAATTACCAACATACGGACTAATTTTAACTCGTTTAACCACGGCACTACATCACACACTGTCAATAATTTATTGTTTTGTTCCAAGTTTTAGCCACAATGAAACAACACAACACAGATGCAAACACCAATGCTTTGGTTCACTCTGGTTACCTACTGTAATGAGATAAGTACAGTACTGAATTTGCAAGCTGTACATACATGCATTGACATTATAATCTGAAAATACTCTATACAGTATATCCAACACCATACGGCCGTGAGGCATTCACAAACAGAGAGGAGCTGACGTCCCTCTGGTCCTTTGTCTTAAAAATTAAAAGCAGAAAAAGTGCCGAAATAGATGAAACTGTTCTGAAATCCTAAAGTCACCACACAACCACAGAAGAACAAGTTACAGTACTCATGTATTACAACCTTGTGATTCTTGAATTCTACAATCAACAGTTGTAAGTGCTTATACTGGAAGTGTGACAGGTAAGCAGCAGCAGCAAGGTAAAGTAGGGTGTTTTTATTCTGTAAAGTAGTGGCGAGTGACTGGGCCTCAGCTCCATCAAACCTCAGACAAATAACTGTGGTGTGTTGCTAAAGAGCTTCTGAGAAGTCTGGAAACACCCTGCGTACACAGCTGGCTGGCTTTCCAACCGAAACAGTCAGAAACGTGATGTACACACACCTCAGAAATCACAGCAGGTCCAGAGACTGTTGTCACAAAACATCATCAAAGTGAGGCAGAGGTGAAACATCAGGACAGATTGTCCAAAAATCAAACTTAATGTCTAATAATGATAGTCTTGATGATAACATTTGAAGCTCCATATTTGGCATTTATAAGCATATGCAAACACTTAATGGTTACATAGCTGGATTTATGTATTTGTTAATAACTGTGACATGACAGTATAGTCAAACGTAGCTCTAAATCAATAGAATATCTTGATGTTATAATCACAGTAAATTAGTAAAAATAGGTACGCTGAGTCATACTATACTGGTCACAAATATACATTAAATGTTTATATATAGCTTTAAATAAATGCCAAACAGTGGAACTTTTAAAATAAAGTGACATTGCAGTACATGTTTCCA